GGCAAACACTATTATACTAATATTATTGTACAGATAGCCATAGGTAAGCCAGGTTAGAAATAGCCTGTGAACTGCAACTGTCGTAATGACGTATGATAGTCTATAACGTTCCGTCCCGATGTACATTGAATTTCAAAACTTCTGAAAGGGGTAGTAATGTTAAACGGCTAAAAATCACACACAGTGTGCACGTAGATGTGACTATCAGCTGCCGATACTGACTTTATCCGATTGCGAGGTCTGATTGAATTCTCTGGACATGACAGTCTATGAGGCCACAGTTTGAGGTGAAGCTAAAACTGTAATATAATGTCGTTCATTGCGATATTTCTATAAGTACGTGACAGAAAACTTTGTCAGGGCAGTACTGCTGCAATATTACAAATCGTGTCTAACAGCCTTACAGGTGGGAATATGCATAATGGAGATTAGAAAAGCGAACAATTCAATATATTTATGTACACATTATCTTGTGAATCAAAGTAAAATGTTGTAGTCGGATTGGTGTGCATTTGACTTTATTATGGTTGTATGACTGCCCTCAACGCCGTCTTCATGTGACATATTGAGCGTGCATACCTATCCACACACGCAATAGGGACGATGTGTATGGCATTTACTTAATTAAATTAACAAATGGAGTCTCTTCGTTGATATTCAGGTGATTAGAGAGAATGGTGTCTAGCGTCGGCGACTGAATTCTTATGTCTCGTTCCCATGGTGCTAAAATAATGAGGACGTGCATTATCTCTTGCAAATGACAATTAATTTAATAGTTTTTAAAAAGCATTTTTCATGACGTAATGCTATTAATATTTCTCAACTAATGGATCATTTTTTTATGATAACATCAGATTATATATATTATGGATTATCCATATTGCGCTTTTAATATGTCTGTTCCAACACAATTAATGCAACCATGGAGCTCCATGATACAACTAAGTAAGTCACGCCCTCTATGTCAGATGAGTGAAAGCATTGCTATTGACAACAACAAAGTTGCTTGGTTTTGTTGTGAATCTTCTCGAAATATATATTTTGCTAATGGTGGAATACGGATACATACATTTCAATTTTGTAATCAGCACCACCTTCTACGGCACAAAAATAGAATTGCATTCTCTACGGAGTAATAAATGCCGAATAATAATATGTAAAATTGAGTTTTGTTCATATTCAAATTATAACATTATGTATACATGTGATAATCAGTGCACGTGCGTGTGTGTGGGCACAGTTGTCATGGAAACATAATATTCGTTCGTGTGCGTGAAAGACCGCAATAGAAATAGTATGAGAGGCGATAAAGGAAACGAACCGGTGTAGTTTTGTGAACAATTGATTCGTACTACGTGCATTTTAGCTCGACAATGTTCAACAGGAAACAACTAAACGCTCAAAGTGCAGTAGGAATATGTATGGGAAGTGGTGGAAACAAAACGTTATCAGATGTGAAGAGAGCTGAAAGCCAACGTAAAGAGATATTGTTTTGTGTGTAAATTTGTAAATACTTATTAGGTTGTTAATTAAGATCGAGAACAACATGTCAGCATGTCATATCAGTATGCTAGCATACAGCATTTGTTTTCGGTGAGGGGTAAAGTAACTTGAAATTTTGTTATTTCATTAATTAACCAAACCTTGAAAGTAAGTGTTCTAATTACTATATATAATTACGTTAACTATATAATTATGTCTATATTTACGAAAGACCACATTCTAGAAACTATATCGTTTAGTTGTAAGTGTTTTTGTTAAATAAAACTCAGTGGTTGTTGTTTTACTTCCTTTACATAACGAGTATTGTGTGACTGCATTTTGAGGTTTGAAGAAATCATCGTCTGTATTCTGTTCAACCTTCTAACGATAATATATTTAACACAACCGAAAGCATAAAGATTGTTTCCGGCGAAAGTCTGGTGTAGCACCGCATAACAGATGGGCATAAACGACAACAAAATGTAATTGGCTAACTGAAACAAATTATTTTTGATTTCACCAGAAAAAAAAAATTGTCGATTAGTACTAATTACAGTGTAGAAGTCAAATAAACGATCACCTTTGTCAACATGCAGCACAAATGGAGTTGGAAGTGTTGTTCGGCTCGTTCTCAAAGCATCTACTGTGATGGGGAGAATAAAAAGTTATTTGAGGGATAAACACAAATTCTACATGATTCTCTCACTCCAAAGAGCTATCGTCATTCGCTTGCCCGCAAGTAATACAAGTCGTTTATTCATAACACGTCGTTATTGGCTTCTCAACGGATATTCTTATTTACTGGCAAGCAAACGAGGAAAGCGGTCTGCAAACATAACTACATCATTGAGTACTGTCCTTTTATTATGACGGTCATATTAGTCTCACAAATGGTTTTTTTTTTTTATAATATGCACACTATTCAGATTTGTGTTCGTATATTTCTATGTATAGCTGTATTTTATCGGTAAGTAATCGAGCTGAACTGGTTCTACTCAGTATATAGGTGGTAATGGAGTGTCACTTTTATGTAAACAACTTTGTGTGTAATTTTGTTTCAATAAATATTATGTGAGTGTGTAAATGGTGAAAGTCGGGTTACCGCAAATAAACAAGAGACTTGCGTCCCTTGTAGACCCCTTTTGTGACACCGATGATGATTGGTTCAGTGCGTGATGCAATGATTGACAGGCTCATTAATTAGAGTCAAGTTTATCATAAACAATCATTCGTATACGTGGTTTATTTTAAATTTGCACGACATGGATTCACTTGACGCAAACCACGTTTGAGTGAATCCGTCGGCGAGGGCGCATTAACTATCGTTAACCGCGTTTCGCAGTACAGAGTTTAACCAAAGACACTAGATTTGTTCTAGTGTCTTTGGTTTAACTACTAGTATTGTCTGTTCGGGATGGCAAACAGACGGGTATGGTATGTGGGGTCACGTGACAAGGGTATTTAAGTAGAGGACGGAAGGTTGAATGTCAGTCTAAGCCAGTCTCGCTACAGTCATGTAGGTCTCTTTTCTAACTCCATGCTACAGTGCAGTTTTCAATTGATTTGTAAGTTTATTAATGTTTGTTGTATAAAACAGGGCGACACCCGTCACCTTCCCCTGGGCACGTTCGACAGTACGATGGGTACAGGTTTTCAGAGATTTTTGTCCAATTTCCTATAGGAAGGGTTTTTTATTCCTGTTTTTTCCTTGGCGGCCGGCGTGCTAGTAACGGGGTGCTATTTGTTGTCAATATGTTTTGTCAGTGTTTTTTTTTTAAATTTAAACATTTAAAAATGTTTTTTGGCCGAGTAATGTTAATGGCTTTTGCACCAATATTCGATTTTTTTTTTCGCAGTCCATGCAAGTTATTTTTTCTCGCATTTAATTGTTTTCAATCTATACACTTGAACACTACATGCAATGTAATGGCAGCCGTTTTCAGTCGGCTTTATTAGTGTGTTTGATAAACAAATTGTTCAATGGACGGACTGCACGTACGTGGCCGTGCCTTGTATTAACCTTACCTTGTGTAAGTGTGTGTGTTAGTTAAAACCAGGCTATTCGCACGGCTTGCATTTTTTTAATATCATGTAACATTTGTTTCTACTTGCATTGCTATAGAGCGTTGAAGGTGCACTACTTCGGGAATAACAGCGACACACAACCAGTGGTACCTTTGACCAGTTTTGAACAGACTTCAATGGTTATTAGATTAAGTCTCTTGTTTGCTAAACGATAAACACTTTCGCGTAAACCCGGCTTCCGCCATTTATTTACTCATATACAATTTGATTGAAAAACACCAAAAAAACAAACAAGAGACTGTGTGAAAGTCAACAAAAGCAAGAGCACTTGTACTTGGTATCTTATCTTCCATACCGACATCACCAGTAGTCAGTTGAACTGCGTGTCGAAACAATATTTCCACAAACGTTGTATTTCGCCGAATCTGTTTACAGGGAACCCCTCCCTAACGTCCGTGTATTATGTATGGGATATGAGTTGAAACATGGTACATTTTCCCGAAAAGGAGCCTTGACTTCTTGTAAAATATTTACCGTAACAAAGCCTGACCTCAGTTGAACCAGACGACTGCATTGTCACTAATATGTAACATAATAATATTTCTCCAAAACAGTATCGTGATTGTGTATTATTTAAAATGTCGGGTTGTGTTTTGTTATTTTGGCAGCTCCCCTTCATGATGTCACATCAACTCGCACGAAACAAATGTAGCAGTGGGCCGGAACAACGTCTCTGTTCTTTTGTGATTGTTCAAAATACGAATCACATATAATATTGTGGTTAGAATATGTGTGTACTATTGGCATTGTATATTCCATATAGTGTATTATTATACATCTCTCTCACCGTAACGCCATTACAGAGTTACAGAGTGCCGTAATTTTGCGGTATTTTACGCGCTATTTTCTTCCTAACATATTAGGAAATGCGAATTCCAAATATAGAATGATTACGCGCGTAAGCGTGCTATAATAATAAAAACAAATATGGCTGCCAGCAGAGTTTGACCGGACTCCGCACAAAGAATTTCGCTGAATCTGTTCTAAACACTTTGGATTTCTGAACTCTCATGGTGTATCCTTGGCAGAAAAAGATGTATAATAACAAGGTTATTACGAGGATACATCAAAGTATGCAGTACACCGTCGCACCCAGTTCCACTACGCGTCAGTCGATACTCGCGCTGTACTGTCCTCGTGCATACTTTAAGTTATCCTCGTAATAACCTCATATATATTAATATGTATATTAATTACCACTCGCAAAGATAATGGGGTATGGGGTATCCACACTGTCTACCTACGATACACTATGCACCATTTCTGTACGTATATTGAGTTAAACGCATTGAGTTAAACGCAAAGCGCCCACTTTTTCTTTTCAGCCAGCCCACGGTTTAAGTATTCTTGGAATTATAAAGTTTGTTTGTTTCTATATCTCAGTTGGATTGAAACGTGTTTCACGGCCCGGTTTGAGATACTACTAACATAAGGACATTCCAAAAATATTTGATTTAATGCATTCAAATTATGCTAACAGATTACAATTTAGTTTGTACTCTATGCATTATTGACAGTTCCATTCATCGCTTCCATCACCACAGGCTTTGCGACCATTGCAAATCGAGTCCTTGCTAATGCATCGTAGACCCCCTGCACATCTATACGGAGCCGAAGGATATTTCTTTTGACAACCAGCTGGGTCATACCAAACCTTGGTGCCTGTAGTGAACCCAAAATAATATCATCAATTAATGGAATTGTTTTTTAAATGGTACAGCATTACGCTTTCCATCACTAGTCATAATGTAATGTTAATGGACGGACACGTGTTTACGACTATTAGTACCAACTAAAAAAAAACGGGCTGTTGTGTATAATCACATGCTGGTATAAAAACTATAATAACTAACTTGTTGCACGTTCGCCTAAATCCGCCTCAAAGGGTTCGGAGCCTTCCTCCTTCTCCTGGGCAGTGACTGTGAGCACACAGACCATCATCTTAGAATGATAAATGAGGAAAATATAATCAGTGATTCAAATTGTATAGTTAAAAATAAGTTGTCATTACTTTTTATTTATTTTTTATCGAATATGGCAGTTTTTCACCAAGATACATCTCCACATTTCATATATAAATTTTTCTATTATGCTATAGTGGAATGTGGTCAAAGCAATAAGTGGTCCGCTTTACTATTTAAACGCGTTTATTCACTACGTTCAATTACCTATCATAGACTTCGGTCAGTCAAAATGATTATTTTGAAATGTAGGCATTAATCTGCAATTCAGCCAATGACGGAGAGAGAAATCATTTGACCACTTTTGTTGGGTTTCATTGTGTCAGTTTCAACTGTAATATGTTCCACTCTTGCGTGCCTTGTTCATTTTTGGTGTAGTTAAAATGGACAAGAAGAAAGGAAAGCACTCTAAGAGGAGCTCTTCACCTCCCGGGTTGTCGCCCAAAAAGTCAACTTGGTCTTGTGGGAATTGCCACTGGGAACTCCCGGCTTTGAACCCACATACCAAATGTCACCTCTGTTTATAATGCGTTCGGGAATCTGGGTTTTGCCACTAGGGGTGTGCTCTAATTGGGATCCGAAAACTTAGGATAGTTTCCAAAAATGTTCATGTTGCCGAGACTGGTCGTGTTGCCCGAGCTCTGCTAGTCACGTGGTCGGTTCAGGCGGCTATGTGGGCGTGAGTGAGAGGAGTGTTAGTATGGGTGAGAAGTCCTCCCTTTCATCTACCAGTACCTCAGGTGCTGCATCATCGAGTGGGGGCCAGGCAGTTGTGGAACCGAGGGCTTATGGTCTCGCCTCCCAGGGGTTGACTAGAGGGCATCTTTGCAGTCTGCTATTGTAGGCAGAGGTCTGCTCGATCGTGCCAGAAATGCGAGGCCGTGGCCCTGGAGCCTAGTACTCCTATGGGGCCTGTTGCGGGTCATTCTGTGGATCCTTCCCCGCCGGGTACTGGGTTTGTCTCCGATATTTGGGCGATGTTCGAGGGACTGTCAAGACAAATTGTGTCTCTTTCAGGTCGGGTGGGCAAGACGCAGGTGAAGCAGATGCAGCTGCAGACGCCTCTCGGTCGGCAAACGTGAAAAAGCACACCAGGAAGCTGAACGTTGGTTTCGTCTTTCCCCTATTTCCTTCCAGAGCCAGTGCCAGGGATCTTTCCCAGAGCATCCTCCATGGGGCACCCTCCCTTTGATGACCGACAGGCGTTCCAACAGACGTTTGACAAGCCCTTGCTCACTTTCTTAAAGTGAAGAGGGGTTTGACCATGTCTGATTCTGTGGGTACAACCTCGGGTCCTCGGAAACTGTTCTTCAAAACTACTCTGTGAACCACGCCATGTGGGTGATGCAGGAAGTCATTGGTCCTAGATACCTGATGTTTATACCCTGCAGCTCTCCTGGTCCGGCAGATTGCCGAATGTGGCTGAGGGGGCACAGACGGTGTTGATGGTTCAGTTTTGATCCCTGCAGAAGAATATAGTCCTAAGGCCCCAGGGTGAGGTAACCTTATGACTAACACTTTCCGCAGGACCAAGCACTATCCAATCTGTGTAGTATTGGATACAGGAGCTAGCAGAATCTGGAGCCTGGGACGGGATGGCCACATTCTGTGGAATTTCTCGGCATCTCAGTCAGAAACAGTCCACCACACCCTGAGAGTAGAGTTGCGACCCATTAACTTTTTGTAGTTTGTGGAAGTCTCAGAGGCAGAACACATCAGCCTCCTAGACCAGCAGACACAGTTGTTGGCCGGGCATCACATGGCTATGTTTGATATTCTGCAGTGTCATCTGGCAGGGTCTTCCTCAAAGCAAAAGCAGTCCGACAGTTTGCTTACAATGGGCGCTATGCACGTGTTTGTGTTTCAAAAGCTACAGGTGGCTGGCATCCAGTTCTGAATCTAAGAAAGCTAAATCAGTATGACTAACCCAGGATTTACTACACCAATTAGACTTTCTAGTAATTCTAAAAAAGTCCCATCCGCACCCAAAGTGTCAGTTGGTGTTTTTCTGGTCCTGGAGTTTGCCACAAACGCAGGGTCTTTGTATTTGCAATAAGCAGTTTAGTCAAATGTTTAGTCATCGTTCCCTCCATGTCCCTCAAAGGATTTTTGCACACCATTGGAATGATAACGTCAGTTCGCAGGGTAGTTCCCTAACCTGCAGTGTGCAGCCACCTGGTGCAACGCACTTTTTTGCAACACCAGTCTCACCTACAAAAACTGGAGAGGCGAGAAACCCTCACGGACCAAGCAAGGGATGCCTTTCCCTGGTGGATGACAGTTACCAACCTAAGACAGGGGTCCCATTGGACGCACTCACAACGGCTATGACTCTTATCACGGATGCCTCCCTCATAGACTCAGCACACCTAATAGATGAACAAGCCTAAGGAATATGGTCCCTGCATTGGATTTAGGGCCGTCATATCAATTGGCTCGAACTGAAAGCGGCGCACTTGACACTGATACATACAGAGCCTTGCGCCACACGGACAACACAGCAGTGGTCTCCTACATCAACAAGGAGGGGGCAAATCACCAACGCTGTCAGATCTGGTGGAGCTAATTCTTCATTAGCGCCTGGAATGCAATGTGGAACTAACTGCACACCACCTTCCAGGAGTGCGGAACAGTCAAGCAGATGCCCTTTCGCTGTGACTCTGTTTGAAGAACACGGAGTGGGTGGTATGCCAATGGGTAGCCTCCAGACTGTTTCGGCTGTGGGATGGTCCCAAGATATACCTATTTGCCACACCCAGGAATGCCAAACTCCCAATGTATGTGACACTCTTGCTGACTCTAGGAGCATGGGCCATGGACACATTATCGATCCCATGGACCCACATGGACGCATACGCCTTTCCCCCTTTCTGCTGATTTACTGGGTACTGGAGAAACTTTGACAGGAGCACACCTGCATCTTGATGCTGGTGGCGCCCAACTGGCCAACCAAAGCCTGGTTTCCACTACTGTTTTCACACTGGTAGTGTTTCTGGACATCCCGAATATACTGTCCGAACTGGACAGCAAACTACTAATTAGCCCAGCAGTGTACTACTTATATGCATGGAGGCTCTCAGTAGATTCGCACAAACGAAAGGTTTATGTGAGTGGGCAGCCAATGATCTGGCGAGGGGAATAGGGGTACCACCAAATTGTGACTTGTGAGTTCTGGGTCCTGTCTTTCTCGAATGGTTGTGCCGCCTTTATGAACAATCAAGCTGTGCTAAAGACACATTTCTCACCAAGAACCAAATGCCAATCGTCATCCCCCGTTTGGCCAATGGAGTTGCTTCTATGCCTGGTTCGAGCTTTGAGTTGCTATGAGAGACGTACTATGGAGATGAGGCAGGGCAGTAAGCACATGTTTATGTGTTATGGCCGAGGTAAGCAAGATAGACCATTCTCCCCGATCACTTCGACAGGTTTATGACCAATTTGCGTTCTCAGCAAAAGGTCTACAGAGACACCAAGTACGATCACATGAGGTTCATGCGGTCGCTAACTCATTAGCTCTTGTGTCAGGTGCCCCCTCGAACACGTACTTAGGACAGGCTTCTGGAGAATGCAAAACGTCTTAATTATTTTATCTTTTTCAGTGTAATCCATTGAGGAAGGTCTTTTCAGGGTGGGCCCCGTCGTCACAGGTCAGACTTTGATTGTTGACCCAGCTGAGATGACCACTATGACCACATAGGCGATAGTGCAGTCTCTACTACAGATTTGTGTGGAGAAGTTTCTCCTCGGACATTCCAGGTCTTACTTTCAGCCTATGCCATCATGCAGAACTGTTTTGGCCTCTTCTTTTCGGAATGCTAGTTACCCCCAAAATTAGGCTTGGGTCTACCATCCTCGGGCAATGCCGACCCTGTCACCCTATCAGCAGTATGTTTTTACTATGGGGAAGACACTGACAAGGTAAGACACAGTTTTTCACTGGTCTTAGCTAGATGGTAGTCAGAAGTTAACACCCTTCATTTCAAGTACTCCTTTATTTTCTGTTTTGCTCGGAAAACCGCTGTGTCGCGGCATCTGGCTCTGCCTACAGCTCAAAATAGTCATTTTGACTGACTGGAGTCCACGGTGGGTAATTGAACGTAGTGAATTTAGGCAGAGGATTTTCAATCGCTTATTCACATAGTTCATACCCGCCATAGACTCTAGGTCCCTCCCAACCACCCCACTTTCCGTAACATAAGGCGAGATTGCGCCGACCTCTTGACCTTGGCCACGTGTTGCGTGGAGTGGAAGAAAATCTATGAGGTCATGGGGCTTCCCCTGACCTAGATTTCTTTCGTCATCACAGCAGATTAATGCTTACAATTCAAAAAAATCATTTTGATTGACAAGAGTCTATGGGCGGGTTGAAAGCCCTCTGCCTAAACATCTAAAACAATATTCCAGACATGTAATGTTATAATATATTACTAAAAGCTTATAGTTTCAAATGTACGAAATCATCTAAGGAAAATATCAGACAAAAACTCACCAAGGTAAATGCAATATACAACATATGGCTTGTCATTGTCCTTTTTCCCTTGATAACAAATTGTCTTGTCAGGATGTTAAGAAAACTGTATAAAATAGAAAGTTTTAATTATTCTGTTATCATAAAAAACTGATTCAGATACTTGCAATACGAATATTACAATTTCAACAGTTGTGTAACTTTGAACTACTAAAAGTGTAATTTCAAACGCAATAAACATAGACAAAGACATATTAGAAAATACTTTGTCACTCCATGGTTCCGATGGTAGAATACAATTTATTTAGATTTTCAGTCCAGGTGGTTTATTTGGATTGATCACTCAGTCCTTTAAAATTTTCGAAACTACTACATTTTCGAGTCATAGGTGATGGGCGGTGGTCGTGGCGCAACGTATTTGCGAGA